CTGAGGGAAGAATTCAAAACCAGTGGGATTGCATATAGGTATAATTAAGGACAGAATTTAGTTTGCAGGATTTTATTGCTGATGGTAATGCACAAGCAAGAAAGAACACAGCTTGACTTTCAGAACCTGCCTTGTGTTTTCAGGGCTGGTAATTATCAAAAACATCATCATACTGTAAACTGTGAAAATTTAATCTGGAGGCCATTGAGAGACAATAAACATGGAACCCCTTGATGCCATTTTAGAGAATAATTTTTTTGGTGTGTAACTGCACTTTAAACAAAAAAGCCAGCTATTTTTTGCTGTACTGTTTTTTTCCAAACATTTACTTTTTGATCCAAGCAAGAAGCTCTGAGGTATTTTGAGACATTGCACCTGTAAAACATCATGTAAGTACTATCAGTGTTTCCTTACTCATCTAAATATACATGACACTTTACCATTAAATAAAGACAAAGATCTTGCTCTAAAGATGGCATTAATAAAAAAGAGAACCATCCAACAGTATAAAAAATCATTTTCACAATATTTTGGAGCCACAGCAATGACTCTTTACAGTTTGTAATATGTATATGTTTGACACAGCGTATTGTGGTAAACATTTCCTCCTCCATATTTGAGATGCTAAATTCCCACACAGGTGTATTCATGTGTGCTGTAAGAAGCAGCATGGGAGTTTGCTAAAAGTTCAAAAACTTAGCACAACACACACCATTTTTTAATTGTCATCTCTGGAGAAGATTCCTTAAGCTTAATTTATTCCATATACTTATGGGAATGCCTAGTGTTCCTAAGACTCTCCATTCATAGAGTTTAAGGCCAGAAGAGACCATTATGATAATCTAATCTGACCTGCTGCATAACACAGCCCATAAAATTACACAAAGTAGTTCTTGCATCAAGTCCATAAATGATTCTTGAACTAGAGCATAGCTTTCAGATAGATATCCAATCTTGATTTAAAGACTTCCCGTGTTAGAATAATCCACCACATCCCTAGGTAAATTGGTCCAAGTTAATTATGCACACTGTAAAAAATGTGCACCCTATTTCTAGTTTGAATTTGTCTAGTTTCAGCTTCCAGCCACTGAATCTTGCTATACCTTTGTCTGCTAGAGCCTTCTACTAGCAGAAATCTCCCTATGCAGATACTTAAAGACCATGAGTAGTCAATGGAAAGCTGCATCACTTATATGATACACTGGTTTTATATAATTTCAGCAAACTCTAAAATGAAGATGTAAACTTCAGCATACACCATGTGGATTCATGACACACAATGGAGGATTTTGCATCTATTAGTCAATGAAGAGATCACATAGTATCTAATATTGCGATAGACCAGTTGATGACACTAAGACATATATTTTAAACTGTGACAGGTATAATACAAACAAGTGCATATGTACTCATTAGCAAGCATGGATCTGAATTTTGCAATCAGATTCCTTGGTCTCTGCAAGATTCCAAAACTGAATTCAGTAGCAACCTGGAAAATGCAATCCACATTCTTTTTTCTAAGTTAAATATGAAAATTAATTTCTATTCATATTTATTGCTATCTTCAAATATTCAGTGTGCCATATTTTTATGCTGAAAAGGCACTAATATCCTGTAATTGTTGTCAAGTGGGAGCTGAAGGTCTCAACTGTTGGCAAAGAACAGTTGAAGCACTTAAGCAGGCGTTGAGGTGTTGTTACAGACAAGGCAGTTGAGTAATTTGGCACAGGGAAAGAGATGCATCTGCACTTTCCTTTTCCTTCTGTGTGCAGATATGGTGGTTGACTTAGCAACCATTGACAGAAACTTCCCTCCCCCATGCCTTCACACAGATTCTGCTACTGCATTACATAGTGATGGCTAGGTGCATTAGCTGAAAATGTCACCTCATACTATATAATAATACTGTCATTTAAATTATCATTGTTAAGTCTCAGAGTTCAGGCAAGCTTCTGGAGATGAATGGGAGCCATTCACACCCCTCAAGCTCTATGCAGGCTCAGGAAGACCAGGCAGCATCAGTTTACATTTAATTCACATTTTGAAGCTTTCCTTTGCAGTCATAACAGCTAAGATTATATTTATCTTGTTTTGAAAGGTAGCATTAGGATGATCTGGGAGTGCTTAGCATCTCTGAAAATGAGGTCATTCCAAATAATAATAAACCCCCTTAGTTTCTGAATCCCATCCTGCAGCAATTTGTGGTTTCTGAAATTTTAGAAAATAAGGCTTTGGATATGGTTAATTTAATAAGTAATACAAATATAAATAATATACATGTACATATTTCACAATGGATCCCGTTTTTGAGAGATTACAATAGGATGGAACAGGAAATTGGTTATTCAAAAACTTGATGCAAGGTACATTGATCAAATACCTTGTATTCCTGGATAATAAGTATTTTTGCATGTTCCATGGAAGAGTACAAGAGGAAAAAGTGAGGAATTTTGCATCAGGTATTTTGATCATGCAGGTGATACCTAAACTGTTTGAAGCATGCAGTTCTAGACAGAGGTTGTCTGTTTCTCATATGTAGCTTGACCTGCGGGGGTTTCAATTGGCTTGGATTAAATCCATAATGATAATCACAATTATTACCTGATCTAGTATGGAAAATTAGTAGAAATTCAGTATTGCAGCTCCTATAACGTACAGAGATCTAGCTAGTACTTTGAGTTATGCATATTTTTGAAGCAAAAGATAAAATTTACCTTCGTGTCACAGCTTTCATTGTTTAGTCCAAATTTATCTTAATTATGTAGAATCTTTAAAATTATTTTAACAGATTTTGCAACCTCTGGTCCTTTGTTAAAAGTCAGTTTAGATAGCATCTTTGCATAATATCTAGGCAACTTACAGCACTCTGAATCTTTGAAAATGTGTTGTTGTTCAATCCCATCACATTTAGAAAGTAGGAAGTTAAATAGGCTACAACAGCATAAATCCCAATCCTGAAATTCACTGTGTTCCACACAAAGTGAATTGCCATAATTAACAATTTTCTGTCAATGGTTTTTAGCAAATCAGACAATGCAGCAAGACATATTACGTCAGAGATATGTACAGGAGGTTGCCTCATCTGATTGAGAAAATTGAGAGTTTTGTTGCTTTCATGATTTGATTGAATTCAGTTATATTTTCCCCCAAAATCACTGTCCATGAGGCTAGTATCACTGTAACATTCTTTTACTGCCAATGCCACTACACACATTAAAAATATAGGGCATTAAAAATTCAGCATATGCTAACAGATAGCACACAGCAGTATCTGAGATACCAGATTTCCCTGTGCTTGGAATATAGAGTAACTATGGCAGCTTTTTAATACAAGCACTGTAGAATACTACTATTAATATGTATATATATATGTATAAGTACATATTCTTCTTTTTGTGCAGACAGGATTTGAGAAAGAGAATACTTTCCATTTGCTTTGGGCACAATTGATTGTGTATATTGATTCAGGGCAAGATAGTGAATCACCCCCATTTGCTTGTAAAGGGTGAAATCAGGTCACCCTCTGCAATGAGCTTTGTGCTAGAATGTTTCCACCAGGAATGTTATGGAGCAACCTTTGCAGCAGCTCCTCGGATGCTACCGCAGCCCATCAGCTACTGATTGTGCTGCCTGCAGCTGCTACAACTCCCTCAGGAGAGGGTTTGGGGCAGTAAAATGTCGTAATTATTGACCCAGTGACCATGTCCCCAAATCACAGACAGAGTAAGGAGTCTCCCTGCCCCTCACTGTGTGGGTTACCTGTATGGTTACTGCAAGGAAGGGACACTGAGGTAGCAAGCCTGAGTACCACTAAACACTGAGTTCTGCTATGCTTTATAAAACAATGACAACTGTTTTTCACTGTTGCTGAATGTCTTACATACTTCATGTGTCAAGCAATGGTCCACTTAATCTGATGAACAAACAAACAAACAAAAAGAACAATGGCATGCGAATGTTCTTCATCATGTGAGAAAAACCAAAGACAATCACTGTAACAAACTGTTAGAGTGTTTTCTTTGGGGGATAGCTGTGGACAGTTAAAGTAATCCCTAGAGACTTGGGACCTATTCCCCACTCTGCTATAAACTCACTCTATAATCTTGGACATGTTATTGAACTTCTATGTGCATCTGTTATTCCACATGTAAAATGGGAACATAATGCTTACCCATCCTACTAAAGTGCTAAGAGATCTACAGCTGACAAGCACAACACACAGGAAGCACAAAGTGGTTTACATTGTTGTTTTCTACTTTTTGTTTATTAAGAGAGATGAACTTGTTTGCATCTGATGTGTCACATTTAGCCTTCTCCAAGTATAATTGCATGCATTTTATTCAGCAAGTGTTTAGGGATCTGCAAACTTCGATTCACACAGGTAGTCCCCTTGAAAGGGAAAGTGTTTTTCCCTTGAATAAAGATTTGTGGAATCAGGCCCCGGTATTGTAAGTTTGCAATAAAGAGCTGATTCTCAAGCCATTTGCTTGTCTTTCTAAGGAGAGAAAAGCAATTGTTGTTCTCTTTGTCCCTTGTTCTTTAATGATGCCCCTTTCTTTTCCTGCAGTGAGTTCTTAAATCTGTGCTAATGAAAAGTGACCAAGGACAACCAGATTGCATGTGCCATGTCACTTCTCTTTTGTGCCCCATTTTGTTCCCTGTAGTGCTACACAATGGTGGCTAAGCATAAGTTAATTAAATAACGCATTTAAAATCAAGTGCTAAATGCTAAATGTGGACAGACAGATACTTGTAGATCTGCCTGCAGTTTAATTTTATAGACATTCAATACCCTTTATCTACATTTTACGATATAGGAAGTGTGAAATTTGGCAAATTTTAACATTTATTTCAAAAACTGTAAACATTGCCGTAGTGTCTGCAAGAAACTCCCATGTTAAAATACTGGAGAGTGCTCTTATATTGCCATAAAAAAACAACAAAAACATAAAAATACAAAAGTTGGGTACCTTCTAAGTGATTCCGTTTTTTCTCCCTAGGATGTAATTGGAAAAGCACTGCAGTACATTGGAACATATGGTGATCTTAGCAACACAGAGCAAGTTGTGGCTCTGATTGACAAGGAAATGTGCATCAACTGTGGCAAATGCTACATGACCTGTAATGATTCTGGCTACCAGGTAAGAACATGGCTGTAATTAGCAAAAAGGCACAGTGAGTTATCTTTCTGTTGCTGAGACAGAAACAATCCACCTTCTGTTAACGAGCATGTGACAAAAATAGCTGTATAAAATATCGACTTTTAACACCAGCATGCTCCTAAGCATACTGAGAGAACCCTCACTGATCCGAATGTAGGGGTTGTCCATTATGGACTTTGTTGGAGATTTGTGTTGAATAGAACAGAAATTCCTCTTCACAACCTCTTTTAGTCCCTCAGAAGTTATCTCTATGACATCTACATCATCAGGAGTTTTTTGTTTTGTTTTGTTTTGATGGGAAGTAAATAAAGGAGGACCCAGTATGGACTGCTGCAAATTCAATTCTTCAAAGGTCCTTAAGGAACTAAGGGAGAGGGGGTAGGATTCGCCCCTATCAAGCCCACAGGGCAGTGGGAAGGAAGAAAATATTCCCACCTGCCAGATACCTGTTCAAAAATCGAAATCTTGCCTGAGGTTTGTCAAACTAACTATGCTGGAATCCGCCCTGATTTGGGAGAGATTTCCATTTCTGTGTGAATCAGCTCTCCAATATGATGAATTAACTTCCACAGGGAAGAAGAGAGGGCCTGGTAGGTTGATAGGTCCAGAAATCACTGCACCTGGCATATGTCATTATTTTGAGTTGGGAGAACTGTTGAAAGCAAGCTATTTATTCCTTGAATTCTACCATGTACAGTATATAGTTCTGTGAAATTCACTGTTCATTCTGTGAACTATTCCTTGCCCTACTATTGCACATCTGCAGGATTTTGAGGGACTTACCCATCCAATAAGAAGATAGTAGAGACAGGATCAGCCATTTTAGGTGACCTGTTCTCTTCTCAAACCAAAGTAGGATCCACTAGAATCCCTATGGCAGTCAATACTCCTGGCAGCATTAATTTTCATGACTCCTACACACCCAGTATAGGAGGCTGTATTTTAACTAGGCAACAATGTTATATTTTTCAGTGACTTTTACTTTATTTTGAATTCAGTGTGTTTGGTAGTTAAACTGATTTTTAACTAAATATAGTAAGAGAAATAACCTTTCTTTGTAAACCTTTCTTTGTAAAAATCACTTACCACAACAATTAATCTGGGGAAAAGCCAAGCACTTACAAAAACTGATAAGAGAAAATAAATATTTAATCTAAACCCAGACTGTGCTCTGACAGTAGCCTAATTTTTCTAGCAATGATGCTGAGTGTCCCTCCTGGCCTAGCAGCCTGCAGGGCCCTCTCCTCTTTGCTGGATCATAAGCAGCAAAGCTCCCCATGCTTCCACAGCTTTCCTCTGCTCCACTGCAGGGTCAAGCCGAGTTCCTTGATTCAAATCTCCACTCAGTCCACCAAACCTTGTCATAGTAATGGGAGAGTTGCTGTAATGTCATGAGACCTAAGCTTTCACCCAACTACCCTAAGCTATTTTATTAGCAAAAATTATCCCAATAGGAAATGGTTTTAATGTTGTAAATGCAAATGCAGTTTCAAAATTCAAATTCAAAAAGCCATTTTTGTCATTTTAAATCAAAATTTGTTTGGTAAATAAAGCAGTTAAACCAGGATAAGTCTTTTAAGCACTCTGTGTAAGGACATTAGAAGTCCTCTGGGTCCTTACACAAACAGAGAAACATGGATACACATTGGACAACAAGTTCCAGATTACTAAACACACACAAGGGCAGCTCTTGTTTTCCTCTTACACCGCTATCGTTGTCAGCATGTCCATTGGCAGGTTGCAGGCTGGAGGGGTGTGAGTTTTCGCTGAGGTGGGGCAGGCAGATCGGATTGCAAGTCTGATAAAGATTAGCTGGCAATATGCAGGATATTGCAAGTACCTACAGGCACCAAGCAAGCAGTTTGTAAAGTTCATTTAGATAACAGAGGTTACCAGAAAATGAATCACTCAGAGGAAACAGTGCATCTGATTCCATAGAGGCATTTCCAAAAAAAAAAGGGGGGGGGAGGAAGGGGAGCGCTAATGCACAGAAAGCAAAAAAACAAGCAGCGCACAATATGATAGGATTCTGTGGGACACAGAAGACAAGACAGACGCACAATAACTGTATCTCTGTTACAAAAGATTTTTATAAGGGCATCACCATAATTAAATTCTACAATATTCTACAGTAACAGTCTAATATACTGGCCCTTACAATGACAATACTGCAGGGTTGGGGGATTTTACTGTAGAATAGTACCATATTTATATTAAGGCTAAGATACACCAAACAATCTTCCATGGGCTAAACTGGAAAAATTTACTTAAAACACCTGTCTAAATTACAGGTTCCATGTGCCAAACTAATCCAAAATATATAATATAAAGACCTTTCTACACAGTGAGCCATGCATAGGAGAAGACACTCTGATTTAAGATAGAGACCATGGCTCAGATCATCAGCTGATATGAATCTTCACATTAGTAAAGCTAAACTGATTTATGTCAGCAGGAGATCTGGCCCTATATCTACTTGTGGCTCCTTCCTCTTTGTGGTTAAAGAGGTGGCAATTGCTGCCTCTTCTCTTCTAATTATTGTGCCCACAAAAAGGAGAAAGCAGCACTGCCTCTAGCATCCACAAGAAACTGCCCTTTCTACTCTGACGTGCATAGAAGTTTTGCAGTAGTGTTTTCCCTTCGATAAGATTTCCCACCTTAGGGGAGGATGTAGCCCTTAGGGAGGTTAGAGTTGATTTCACATTTAATGCAACTTGCTTTGATATAACTTTAAAAAATCAGCAATAAAAAAAAACGACAGACCCCTGAAGCTTTTCATGATGTGAAGAATGTTTTTTTCCATCTCTTACTTGCAACGGGATCAAACATTAAAAAAAACCAACACAATTTGTCTTCTGCTGAATGCAGATTTTTGTGTTTCCAACATATTCAGCTTGCTGGACACACCCATCCTTTAGTCTCTGCAGAGACCTCACTTTGTATGACTACAGCAAAAAAGTGTAATTAATGTGAAGTTGAGCACAAATGAATCAGAACTTCTGAGTTAATCATTGCCACATCACCATGTACTATCCCCTTCAAGAAATGCATTGTCATTAGAGATAGATGAACCAGTCCTGCAACATACAAACCTTTATTTGTCTCTCAAACCAGACCAGAACTTGGAGGTTCAGACTGGTTCAGTTAATACTTTGGAGAGTGAGATGTCAGCCTACTGCTACTACTATTCATGAGCCTCTTTACTATTGGAACACAAAAATACACATTGGGAAACCTCAGATCTCTTATGTTCTTGAGTTTCAGAGCTTGGGAAGCCCAGAGAAGGCCATATTTAACGCAGTCAGTGCTGCTGCTGGAGCAGACTGTAGAACCTCTCCTAAAAACAGTGTGTGTGATTCCAGAAGGAAACAAATACTCCCTTTCCCCCAAAGCCTGCCTGAAAGTAGTTGAGAAGAATCTCACCAAGTTCCCAATATTGGAAATACCTGCATCCATTTCACTTTACACAGTGTCAGTAATTTCATTGAAGTCAATGTACCTACTCCCAGGGCGTGAAGATGAGTGCCTGTATAAGTCTTATGCCCCATAAGTCTCCTATGAGTAATACTGTTACAGTAGGGTAGGAAAAGGCCACATCAAGAGCCCCAATGATCCTACATCGGAAGATCTTACTATTAATACATTGCAAGGGAAGAATGAAGGTTGTAGGGGAAACTTAACACGGAATTCCTTGAATTTTCCACTTTAGCTCTCTGCCTGTACAAAGCTTCCTGCTCTAATTTACATAGCCAACATTTTGTTTGTTTCTTTTTTACTCTGTTTGTTCCTTAATCAATGAAGAGTTTGAAGTTAGTCTGATTTTGTTTTTTAAACTGGTATTTTATAGGTGGCGTATTGAAGCTACAATTATGACTACATATTAAAAATCTTTTTCACGCTAATCATTAATGAGGGCACAGTCCTTGGAAATGTCAGAAATTAAGCAGTCCTGTCCACTGTCACCCCAGATGTCCCTTTTAACTTTCTAAGGCTTGCAAATAAAATGAATCATAAGTGGCAAAGTATGTGCCATTCCTCGCTAGATTTTCTTAATCTTAAATTAGCTTGTTTGCATCTTGCAGAGAATAAAAGTAAAAAAAAAAAAAAACAAAACAAATGATGGTATTTGCAGTCTGTCTCACGTAGAATCCATACAGGACTGGTCTGGATATCTCTTCTGTACCAGTAAACCTGGTGAATTGCTGTGTCGTGAAAGATTTTCCTCCCGTGAAGGAAAAATCTCTTAATGGAACTTTAAACTTTGTGGGCCATATTCATCCTTTGGGTAACTCAATTTACTATGCAGGGCTTTCAGCAGGGAGTAAATTGGCCCTATAGTTCTAATTTTAAAATGTTTTTTTCCCCCTAGAATTTAAACTGTTGCTATAGCTGCAGTGCAGTATCACACACACACACACGCCGTGAAGTACAGAATACTGTAAGACTTAAAATGCAGATACTAAAATGGGGCTATTTTTGACCTTTTCCATAAGTGACATCAATACTATTTATTTCTCATTGCAGGCTATACAGTTTGATCCAGAAACCCACCTGCCCACTGTTACTGACAGTTGTACAGGATGCAATCTCTGTCTCAGTGTCTGCCCTATTATTGACTGCATCAGAATGGTTTCCAGGACAACACCTTATGAACCAAAGAGAGGCCTGCCCTTAGCTGTGAACCCAATGTGTTGAGGTGATCAGTCCAGCAGTTAATGTGAACTTTACATTTCCATGATGCGGTAAATTTGCTTTCCAATTAGTACTTGAAATTTTAACTGTATTAAAATACGTAATGATGATAGCCGTTATAATTATGGCTATTTTCTCCAGTGATTATTTTAAGGCAGACTATTTTCTTAGATTTCAGAGCAGCAACAATTAGTCAGTTATTAGCTGTCAGTTGTCCGTTATGTAAAGCACAACTTTTTCTTTTGCAAATTTCTGTATTTGATGTTTAATCTTTAGAGTTTCTAGTTTTAAACATAATTAAGTGAGCATTTTTAACTGACTACAATTCAACATACAAGGAAACGGTTTCCAAGGAGACATTTTGTAATTAAACATTACATTTAATTTCTAAAAAGTTTCTTTGAAATTGTAATTAGCTACATACTATGCAAACAAAGCAATGCGGGGTGCTATTTGTCTATGAAAAGAAGTGAAAGGAGCTTTAAAATAGCATTTCCAATCTGGATTAATCTCTTTCAACTGCTACAGTGTACAATATAGTATTTTCTTAATGCTTCCTCAATTCAACCTTACATTAGACTCTTTTAAAAATACATTTGCTAACCACTGACCTATATTGCACTCTTCACATTTGTGACTTGAATTGGTGTCTAGATTTAGATTTCCTCTATTGAACAATCACAGCACACTTCTTAAAATGCTTTAAACTGTGTTATTACAAAATCCAGGTGTTACGTCAGGTTTTGATTATTAGCACCTTTTCTTTCTGCATAGACATATTCTAAATAAGTAACTTTTTAATTATGCCAATTAATGCTTCAGCAACTATAGTTTCATTACGTGAGAATGGAATATGTTACCTCTCGGTGTCTCTCTATGGCTATGTCTACACTATGAGTTAGGGGTGTGATTTCCAGCTCAAGTAAACACATTTGTGCTAGTTCCCATCAAGCTAGCATGAGCTGTGCCTCCACTGTCTGTGCTACGGTGGCTACACAGCTATTTATACTCACGTTAGCATGAGTACATGTATGTGAGCTGGGAATCACACCCCTAGCTCATAGTGTAGACGTAGCTTCTATGGTACATGTACTGGGTTAGTCTCTCTCCTTCCCCCTCCTCCCTCCATTCCGAGTGGTTATGTTTGGCTACAGTCATGTTACAGCCCAAACAAAATATAGATTTGCCAGGATTGCTAAAGAGCCTTAGCTATTTTTCATTCTCACTAGGAGCTGTCTCATACAAATGTATTGCTATTTTCTTTACCCATATCTGAATATAAAGCCATTTGTTCATAATAATAATGTATCTGTTCAGTTAATTATGTGATCAGGAAAATTCATAACCTTTGATTATACACATTTCAGAATTTTCTGTTCTTCTGTTTACATATGTATGCCTAATTATAAATAAATAGCATTAATCAACTTGGGGTTTTTGTGTATATTCATTTACTAAACAGGTTTTCTTGTATGTATCATTTTAAGTTTACTGTCAGATGGTCTTTCATGATCCTAAAATTCACTCCAGGATGATTAATGAGTTAAGTTACATATGCATGCTCATTAATTGTTTAGGGTGCCATGTTACATGATCCTCATCCCTCTCAAAAATCTCTGTCCTCCTTTATCATCCTTCTTTTCCACCCTCTGACTCTGCCTCCTCCACACACAAATTTTGCCTGTCTAGCTTTTTTTAATGGGTCATTTACCCTGTGGAAAGTATCTCCTCTACTCTAGCATGGTCTATTTGACAGCTTACTCTTACTTGATGTGGTGACCCTTTGGCAGTTATGGACTTTAGTGACTCAACTAAAAGCTTTCTCTTGCTCTCTCCTTTCACTGTTTGCACACTGAGATGGTAACAAATGTTTGTGTTGCTTAGCAAATATTTCCATGGGATTTTGTTGGAGGCCTTGGGCCTCTATATCCCATAATAATATCTTATCCATACCTCTGTTCTCATGGTGAAAGCCCTTCAGCTAACTCCATGTATTAGGAACATTATAGGAGGAGCTAGGTCTAGAGATTGTATACATACAGCCTCTGAATCTCTTTCAATCAAGAAGCTGGTTGAGAAGCAGTGTGTGCTTGAGTGAGGGTTGCACAAAAATGGTACAGGCAGTCCTCGACTTTACGGCATTCCAGATAATGACGAACAGCACTTACAACGTTTCTGAGTTGCCCTCCTGATTTGACTTATGACAATTGGTTTCAACTTTACGACACTCAGTCCTGCAATGGAGTGTATTGTGGTTCCGAGTTATGATGTTTCGACTTACAACCCAATGTTCAGGAACCAATTGTGCCATAAATCCGAGGACTGGCTGTATTCAGAACCCCTGCAGCTATCATCTTATGACCATGGTTAGTAGAGGTATGAAATGGTGGACGTGTTATTCCAGGCCATATTGATGCGCTTTAACTTTTCTATGGGATGTCAGAAAGCACACAGCCATCTTTGTCATATTATGTAATTCTGTTCTGGGGTGCTACACTTGCTCACTGTACCATGCCACATACTATACATCCATTTCTTTGCCATTCCTGACTTCACTACTCTACTGGAGACTGTCACACTTGGTAAATATGGCTTGTCCTCAATATATAGCACCACAAGAGACCTGCCAAAAGTATAATAAGCATATACAGCAGTAGATGGCATACTAGCAAAAACATTATTTTATGTAGCAGCCAAAATCCAGACTTTTGCTACAATACATCATTAGGCAGTGTAGGCTAATTGATATACCTGTGTGCCTGAGGAGCTATCAAGTAAACTTTGGAGGGGTAAAACCCATACCTCGTGAAGAAATGATGCATCTAACAGTCAAAAATAGAATGCATTTACTGGGGAGGGTAAGAACAGTCATGCAGTTCAGAGGGTTTTTTCCCCCTCTTGTTATATCCACAATCTGAGGTAATATTTTTGTTTCCAACTGCATTTATTAACTAATACTTTCTAACTTTGACAAACAATGGTAAATCACATTGTAGGACTCCACAGAGAGGGTTCCACATGGAGCTCCTAAGTTTCTTGCTGACTGTCCTTTGAGTCATCAGGATGAGGTGAGATTTGGCAACAAAGTCATGCCAAAGGACAAAGTCCTTCACCTTACGGGCCTTTGCATCTGTCTTAGAGACATTTGGCCTTGTTTAATGAGCCAGAGAAACAAAACAAAGGCTCTGACTTACATTGCAAATACTGTAGTCAAACGTGAATTTTCAACAGTGTTAGGGTGCAAAGTGAGCTCTTATAGTTCAATGATTTATTTGCATGTTTAAGGAAATATGGATGGGTCAGATTCTTGACTAACACCAAGACAAGTAATCCTTATAAAATAGTGTAACCCATATGTGACAAAGTAAATTATACTAGAAATACCATAGTTCATCTCAGTTTGCTCTACTAACACATTCTTAGTCACATCATATTCCTGAATAGAGAGAGAGCTCCAAGTTTAATGTATGCATTGCAGTCCAAGAACTGCATAGAATAGCTGCCAAATCTGCCTGTGTGAATCCCAATTCACTCATGCATGTTCATCGGAAAAAGCTTTGCCCTGCTAACAAACTATATGGGCAGTTTGGTTTTGGACTCACTAAGATGAGGAAGTACAATATTTTCAAGGTATAGGCTTGACAAAACATATTTCTGAAGAATTAAATGGCATTTAGAGAAAAAATTGTTTGTGCTTGATCTGTCAACAAAATTAAAAACAGACTTTTGAGCATGAAGATCATGTTTGGACTATATTGATGAGATTAATGTACATGTATATTGCTATGTACTGTGTAGCTGTAAAGACTTATCAGATGAAGTCTTGTTTATGTTCCCTTTCCTCCATAAAGCTGTGTGGAAGGGGAACAAACAGCGTGACCTTTTTGGAATTACTGCTGCACTACATCATTTATTCCAGAGAATAGGACTGGTTACATGCTGTAACCAGGTAGTAGGCTTGACACCACTTCTCAGATTATCCAAGGATCTGCTAGAACTAAATTATGTCTGCGCTTTCCTGATCCTGGGAAGATGGTGCCTGTCTTACTTGTGATGCCTGTCTATGCGGTTCTGTGGCAGCTAAGGCTTGCCAGATTCATGGTCAATCCAGCCACACACCACTTTTCCCATCTGTACATCCCTGTGGTTGCAGCAAAAAAGATCTGGCCTAATGCAGCCCAAGATTATGCCTACAGTGTGTAGCAGGATATATAAATATAGTGACAAACATAGCTAATTAGAATGACAAACTATTCTATATGTTAAATCTTTCAGCTTCATTTTTATGTACTGTAACATGGGGGCTGAATAATTTGTTAATATTTTATATTTTTCCACATATAAAATAGTCTTTTTAGATAAAATATTTATTTTATTGGCAGCAGTTTTCTTCACCAAGCTGCTCTGTTTCATTGATGAACTGTGGAAGATTTTCACATCTGGCAACCTGGCACACTCTCTAGGCAGCTGGATTGGTAACTTTAGAGTTGCTTCTGGGTCTTTCATATAATTAGTCTGCTTATGGGCCATCTGGGTTGCTTTGTCTTCACTGTTACCATTTTCTCTTTTTTCTGAAGAATTTGTGTACTGTACATTAGTCCTTTGAGAAAAGTTATTAATAAATCTATCCCCTGATTTGTATGCAAGTTCTCTCAAATTTCCATGCCATCTTTGCTTGATCATAGAAACACCATTTGGAGTCCTAATTCTGCTGGGTTAACTTTTTTTTGTGACACTGGAGTAAAATTTACAGTTTTTGCAGTGCAATGAAGTTGCAGTTTTTCCTCAGCAAGTGAAAGCAGATTACTTCCTTAGGGATATGGTCCCTAAACAAAATAAAAATTATGAATACAGAGGATTCTAGTTAAAGCTAGTTAAGCAAAATAAAGGTATTGCGTCAAAATACAGTCTTCTTTTCATTGTAAAGTTACTAATTATTTGCAAAGGGATTCTATATACCCTAGCTGGTAAATAGGAATCAAACAATTTAGACTTACCCCTGGATGTGAAGAGGAGATCCTCTAGCATTGCAGTTGGAAAACCTAATTTCTGTAAGATGGATCTCTCAAAAACACTAACAAACCTTTGGCTTCACTGGGGTTGTGTGTGTCATTGCAGAACTGAAAAAATAGCTCTAGTCAGCACAGCACTGCGAGCTCCAACATAGGGTAGATTCACAACATAGGGTATATTCAGCATAACAGCTTCTTCTAGCTCAACCCCATGGCTGGAGGCAAAGGACCATGGATGGGGTTCCCATGTATTGTGGCTGCTATAATGGTCCCTTGGGGCCACAGGAAGCTGAGATATGTTAGAACTCCTCTTCGGCTGCTTTACTTGTGCCAGGGGATTAGACTGGCCCACAGCAACACCAGTATGAGGGAAGCAAATATCCACTAGTGTGCCATACCCTACTTGTGAGGTACCATGTAATCCTCAATCACAGCCTGGGATTGGGGCCATAAGCAATGTAATTTCATGCGTTTCAAATGCATGTTTATAACAGACAGCAGCAGCCACTGTTTTGTAATATGTTTAAACAAAGTATTTTTGTTTTCAATGACATTAAAGTTGATATTGTTAAAACTAGTCCTCAGAATTCCTCCTTAAAACCTGAGAGATCTATTGTTACATTTCACTCTAGAAATAAGCAGGCAGTGACAAATTTCTCCTTTGGATGACCCACACCTGTAATTGCCTATCAGATTTACACATGAACAACTAGAACTCATCATCAGCCTAAAGAACATTTTCCTCACCCTTCTATTCTTGAGACTACTTGTAATCACAGCTTTTACTTGCACTTATTGGAGACAGGTTTAGGCCCAGTAACTGAAGACATAATATCCAATCGCTGAAAGTTAATGTTTCACAGGAAATGAGCTGACATTATCATGCAAATTAGATGGCCTGAAGATAAAATCATCCACTTTGATTATGAGGGTGCTAGGTACAGAATTTTATATGTCTGATTTCTGTGATTGGAGTCAACAGCTGCAGTTTCTTTCAAAGGAGAGTAATATTCTCTTTTGTTTTATGAAAATTTAGGCTGATTCCAAGTTTAACAAATCTTATTATAGCTGAAGAAGGGGTAAGTGCCAAGAATATAACTGGTTTTCCATTTTGATCTACAGTTGCATTGTGAGTAGAGGGCTCAGTGCTGACCACCCTCAAATCCCATTTACTTTCTTCCTAAGCACCCCACGGAACCTAGCCTAGGCAATCCAAATAAATGGAGAGAAGTAGAAATCACTATTTTCCCTTAATGGATCTCAAACAAGAATTAGTAGCAACTCCCTTCCACCACCACATATAAATATTGCTGAACAGGGGGGTTTCTTTTTGTGTCTGGAGACAAATGAAAACAAAAATGATTTTCTGAAAACATTTTCTTCCAGTTTTTATCATAAAACATGGTACTCCCATT